TGCTCTCGGCGAGAGGGGGGGGGGGGGGGGGGGGATTTGTGAGTGCTAGTGTTCACTGGCTTGCACATCACCTAAAACCCTTGTGCATGTGAACCCACATGAATCCAAAACAAATCATTCGAAAAAGTAGCCTCACTTGGATCTCCTTTGACTGCCTCTTTTGGTTCTCTTCACTATTATATTTATTAATCCACATGGATTTGTTACTTGTGTGTCCTCTTGCTTCTCAATTGAAACATGATATGGGAGTTTACTAGTCAAATGGATAGAATGAGTTGAGAGCTATCTCCATATTGATTTTTAATTAAAAAAATGTTCTGAGTGTAGCTTTCATCTTTGTTTCTATTCCTTGAATCTAGCTACTTGTCAAAGTTCTTGTCTGATCTTTTTTCATGTGTCTTTAGTTCATGTCTGCGTTATCCATTGAAATGATCGATCAAGTGGGGACCCTATAGCTGTATCTTAAAGAAAACAACAGCAAGGATAGTTGCTTCAAGCTGGGGAGGAGAAAATGAGTAAAATGGACCTATCGCAGTTTACTGCTGCCATCAAAACCATGAGAATCCAAGTCTAGTTAGGAACAGAAACCAGACGGAAAACAAAAGATATGAAGAACGACCACTTCTGTCTAAATTGTGGGTGGTTCCCTAGATATAAGCGGCCTTGGTCATAAAATGGTTGGCTCAACCCATGGATTGATGGGTCACTCGGGTCTATCTAAAAAAGGCGTTGTTTTGGATTTTTAAGTTCTATTCGAGATGCTATGTTTGAGGTGAGGAGCTTGTCTTGTATGTTAAGTTTTGAGATTAGATTTGAGGGATGAAGTGAGATGAATTGATTTTTTTTAATTGCCAATAGGCATGTAATGAAGAGGTCGAAACTGGAGTGGTACATGAATTTCAGGCTTGCAGCATGCAGCACACGGCTTGAAGTCGCTGGTTTTTTTTTCTACCTGGTTCGAAAGTAAACTTGAGTCAAATCAGGTTCTAATTCTGCAGATCATAGGGAGGACAGATTTTATAACTATGCTTATAATGGCTGTACAGTTCTACCACATTTGTCTTCCAATAATGGGGCTAACATCTACTGTGTATTGGTCCATGAGATGACCATAGACTTACTTTAAGTCGGTCTTCAATGCGTGCACACACATACACCAAGATTTTGCTCTTTTTGAAAAGAGAGGAAATTATCTTCTTTTATTATGGGACAACGACGGATCAAATGGTTTGTTTGCTCTTATGATTAGCTGCAAGTATTTTTTTCTCCAAAGAGAGGATATGATGTGGATCTTCGTCACTTTTTATTTCTCCTGCTTGCACGATCAAGATGGCGGGAATCAACGACTTTATCAAAGGTGTCTCAAGGAAACGTGCTTGAAGAAGAAAGAGCCATTTCACTCTCGAGATTTCTTCCTGCTGGCAAAAGCAAGTCCTTTTTCCCCGCATGTTTAAGTGTGGATTGAAAGTGAGCTCGGTTTACTTTGGGTGATAAAGTTCTGTCTCATGTTAGTGCTATTATTTTCACTTTATTTAGAATGGTCTCTGTACTGGCTGCGGTAATCTTGACTTCAGTATGGCTCTCTATTTGCATTTAATTTTATTTTATTTTAAAAAAAAGGGGAGGACCGAGGACCTGATTTCCCAGCATGAAGAGCTCTACTTATTGGGCTATGACTGTGCATCAAGAGCTCTGCAGTCATCTGGGCTTACGAGGTCTCGCCCTTATGTTGGATTTTGCTGTCATCCATAATGGTTTGGGCATGAGATGGATGGTCAAGTAATTGAGGGTTTGTCACAGAAGTCATATTCATAAATGGAATGTGTTGAATACCATGCAATACCAATACTATAGGAGTATGGGCCCAAAAGGTCAACAACAATGTACCTGGAATCATGGATGCCGCCATTCCACATTCAGGTGAAAACCCTTAGTGTTCGGTAGGTAGCCCAAAGTTCCCCATTGTTGGGGCATTGTTAGTAGCAGAGACAATTATTGTTATCACAAGGAAGAATTTTAAGCAGCAAGCCAGCAATACATGTTTTAAATTGAAGGTCATTTTGAAAAAAAATACTAACTAGCTTGATATGCTTTCAAGTTTCGAGAGATAAAAAAAAAAGTTTCTAGAGATGAGCATGCATTGAAGCTCTCAAGTGAGTGACTAGTATTCAATCTAGACAAGTATAAAGATCTATGAGTTAACACCAATCCAAAATGTCAAACTAGAGAGGCTCCATTGCCAATTTAGCAAAGACACCGTCAAATTTGGGTACCTCTTTCTCCATTTCAACCATCTGAGCCCGTGCTTCAAGCATGCCATAATGCTCTTGCATGATCATTTCTTGCAAACGCAAAATCACGAACTCAAGCCTACTTTTCTCCATTCTATGGTTCTCAGCTTTAATCATTAACCCTTTCATTTCCACCTTAGTCCGCTTCAGTTCTATCATTACATCAGTTAACTCCACTAATCTTCTCCTCGGAGGAATCACATTATACCCCATGCTTTGCAACTCCCCCATGGTTCTCCACAATTCCCTAGCCCTAACCCAGAAATCATTTGCCTGTAGAGAGTGCATTTGCTCCACAGATTCTTCGAAAATCCGATCCCATGAAGATATCAAAACCTTTCTAGTATGTCCAGAGAGATTTATGAGCTGATAAAAGTGAGGGCTTTGAGGTATACCTTTGAGATTTATGAGATTTATGCAGTATTGGCATAAAAGTGAGGGCTTTGAGGTATACCTTTCAAAATCCTTGAAATCACCACCAATGCAGTATTGGTCCTATTGGGCATTGAATCTTGGTTTGCTTGTCTTGCTACCTTGTCCTGTTTGATATCGAATGGAGCCAAAACACCAATTTCTTTGGTACTATTGTTTTCTTTCTCTCCAATCCCTGGTTCAGTTTTTTCATGCTGCATCTTACTTGCAGCTTCAATCGGTTTTTCTGCATCTTCACATCACACAAAGACATAAATCAAATAATTAGTCAATGAAAGTGAACCATATTTTTATGTTGTAAAGAATAATTCTTTCTGTGGACAGGGAGATTACAAGCCAGAAAAAAACCTCAACATGGTCGGATACTTTGTCAACCTCATGTCTATTGAACGTAAATGGATTAGCGGCTGAAAAGCTTGAAACTTGACCGAATGCACCGAATGCACCGAATGCAAAGGGACTTTCACTGGTGCTTTTAAAGGTAATGGGGTCGACTGAATCCAAAGCAGGGGAAGAGGGACGTGCAGCTTTTCTTACCCTGACGAGACGTGCCCTGGTGTTGCCATTATTAATCGATGAGAATGAGAATGACAATGGCTGCACTGAATTGAACTGGGTTTCTGTCACCGTGGAGGATTTGCAAAGAAACTAATCAGTCACTAGAGAATATCAAATTCAATCACAAAGCAATACTTAATTAGCTAATAAATTAGTTATTTTAATCACTGTCAAGAGGAGAAACCCTGGAGAACTAACATTGTGTGTGTGTATAAAGATTAGAAATGTGTAGTGAATGAAAATTCCAATTAAAGAAAGTTGCTTTTTGAACAATCTTATCTTGCAACCTTACCCAGCTGGGAGACCAAGCGATACATTACTAAACTTATGAGTATATAAGACGTACACCCAAGCGATACATTACTAAACTTATGAGTACATAAATCACATGACTGTGAGAAAGAAAACTCGATCAGCACTTACCGGATTCTGATACATGACCAGACTGGAAGGAGGAAGCCATGTCTAGCTGCTAGTAGCCAAGGCACGTCCGAGTATTTGTATTTGTGATCTCCAATTTGAAGGCAAGGTAAATTTATAACGTGGCAGAGTCTCGGGTGAATCCACGAAGGGTGGTGAGGTTGAAGAGGGTAGATGGGCCTCTGAAGTGAGGTGTAAGGGGAGGGGTGCAAAGGTTGTGGATTTGGATTGGACATCAGAAAAGCAGGCAGATTCTTTTTCCAAGCTTTGCTTGCTCGCCAAGGAATAAATAGAAACTCCGGCATTATTGTCTGATAACAATCCTTTTGGGATACTAGTGGTCTTGGTTTAAATTCAACCATTGTAATGGCATGGAGTAGTAAAATAACTCCTGCTAAATGAGATTCAACTAATTACTCTTCCATTTGCATCCTGACCGCCCATTGTTTTGGCCTTTGGGATTTCAAGATCTTGGTGGCCATGAAACTAGTACACGCTCGCGGAAAATGGAAAATTTTTACTTATTGGAAATATCTCATAGATTTAATCACCCGTTATAGTTATAGAAAACGCTATCTCGCATGGGTTATTCATTGTACACGCGTGTATTGTTCATTGTGTTCAAGATTTTCTCATTTTATTTTATTTTAGTTTTTAAACTTTGTTTTGACGAAGATGCATCTTTTTTAAGCCAAAATAAATAACATATAAATTATATTTTATGATTATTATTGTATGTGGTCCCACATCATATGATGGTAGGATCACCATATTAATTAAGAAGAGAAGCAACTGATCTTCTTTAAATTAAATGGTTCGGATACTAGAAACACAGTAGTAAAATTTGAATAAGAAAGGAGAAGAAAATCGAAAATTAAATGGTTCGGATACTAGAAACACAATAGTAAAATTTGAATAAGAAAGGAGAAAAAAATCGGGAGAAAGAAAAAAGAAAAGGTAGCAGAGCAGTTTGTATTTTTCCTTCAATTTCCAGCTCGTTTACCATTGGATTGAGCTGAGATTTTGACAGCAACTTCTAAACACATTATTATTCATTTAAACGATTGGATTGAAGATTGGTGATATGAAAGCTGACCGTTTTGATAGAAAACTAGGCTGTTAGTATTTGTAAGTTTTTCTTAAATAATTCTCCTTTAATCTTATTATATTCCAAAAATAAGTTGTTCTTGATAATGTATATGTTGTATCTCTTAGTTGATTCTAAGAAAGAATAATTGTGAACCCATTATTTGTTGATAGTGGAAGTTTTTAGGTGGACTACAGTTCTTTGATTTTTTCCGCATCGGGTTTTTCACGTTAAAATCTTGGTGTTGATTTGTGTGATTATTTACATTATATTTGATTATTATTTGATTCTGTTTTTACTATACAAAGAGAAAAAATGATTGGGACTTGTAAATTGTGAATTGTATTCCGCCGAATTGATTCGGGTAAATTAGTATCCGGTTGTTCCTAGTTTTTCCAACAACTATAAATATAATTTAAAGATGAAGGATAAAAATAGAAAAAATACAATAAATAAGTGATAGTTTACGGTTCTCATAAAAAGTTCACTCTAGCCCTCAAAACTTTACATATAATTTAAAAATGAAGGATATTATACTTGTTCAATACTTCAAAAAATTTGCAATCTCATTTTAGTGTAATAGCTTATTTTTCAATTCTCATATTAAAAAATGATAAAGAGAGATTCTGACAATAAAAATAAAAAATCATTATTTACATAAATTCCAACTATAAAAAAATAATTATTTGAACGTGAATGAGATTCTTTCTAATGGTAAAATTTATACTAGATGTTATTTTCCCTAAACCTTACATTGTATGGTAGATTTGAGATAAAAAATAATTTTGATTTTGAATTGATTATAAGTTTTTAGAGTAATTTTTTTTATTTTTTTAAATTATTGATATATTTTATAAGTTGTTTAGGGTATTTTCTTATGATGATAAAAAATAAGTTTTTTTTTTTAATATGAAACATCATAACCCAACTTTTTAACAATTAGAGATTTATGTAATATTGACAAGCCAGGATTAAATAGCAGATAATAGGTCATTTGTCCCATATATTTTTTTAAAAAAATATATAAGGTCTAGTTGAATTCATATAACAAGTCACAAGTTTAATTGATTAATTTCATTTCATTAAAAATTAAGGGTTTTATTTTTTTATTAAAAGAATAGTTTTTAATTTATTTAATTAAATACATATATAAAATTATGAATTTACAATTGAGATTTTTCATGATAAAAAATATGAAGAATGTTGTCCTCCTTAAAGAAAGCTAAAAAAAAAAAAAAACAGGAAACAACACTTCCCATTAAAAATTTAAAAGAGGGAATCTGATAAATCAAAAGGTTACATTCACCGTACACGCAGTAGCAGTAATTGAAAGAAGGTGTTTCGTGTAAAAGCAACGGGGACACCGCTAAAAAGGGACACCCGTGATACCACCATGAGGCAAGAAGAACAAATCTAGGGCATTAAATTCGTTTCCCTCCGTATATAAAGAAAACAGCTTGCATGGTATTATGGTTAACTTCTTGTTTTTTTTTTTTTTTTTAAATAGTCTTAAGATGTTTATATAAAAAATTAATTTTAAAAAATATCAAAATATTATTTTTAATATATCTCTAAAAAACATATTTATAAAAAATAAAAATGATATTATTTTAATATATTTATATAAAAAAACTTTAAAACATTACCTGCAGTGCAATAATATTGCACTCTATTTCTTTTCTTTTCTTTTATTAAACGCAAGCTCGTGTGCTGTCAGTTCATCGCATGTGTAGCTAGAAAAAAAACACGATGCCTCCAGCAAGAAGAGATCGAAGGGTATGTTATCTAGACCACCTCTCTCCCGGGTCTGCCCCATTTTCTCTGTTTCCTCCTTTTTCTCTCACACGAGAAAACTCTCTACTACATGTTTCAGGTGGGTCTGAAACGCATCGATGCTGCGCTTGACGCTGTACGTCCTATGGGATTCCCGGGACCCTTGGTTCGCAGGACTGTCAGAAATCTCCTAAAGGTGACACCTCGTACATGAATGGATGTGTTTATGCATGTTTCTATTATTAGTATTTTAAAGGGGTGTGCTTTTTTGTTAAAGGAAGTTTCGTTTAAAGAAAGAAATCGAGCTTTGGATTTTCTGGGGTATCATGGAATGTGTTTGTGTCATGTGATCTCTAAATTCCTGTTTGATGGCTGAGAAAATGTGGGAATTCAAAATTTGGAAGTCTTACATTCTGGGATCCCTAAAATATTGTAGCTATGTGAGCGCGTTAAGTTCTTTACTTTCTTTAGATGATTGCGGGCTACAGGTATTGAAGGTTTAGTTATTTTTGAGCTTTTCTGTGATCAAGGAGAAATAAAATGTGGGGATTTTTTAGGGTTTGTTATTTTTGTCTCAGGAATATGGCGGGGATGAAGGTTGGGCTTTCATTGAGGAGTGTTGCTATAAGCTTTTGATTGACACGCTTCTCGATGAGGTAGAGAAATCAGAGAGGGAAAACTGCGAACCAGGATTGTTGACAGGCAATGACAAGGTCAAGCATTTGATTGAGAATGGACCGGCAGAGGTAAATTCCCTTTTCTTCCCATTTTGTATCAATCCACCACTTACGTGCAGTTCAATTAAATGGAAGTTTTATTATTGCTCCTTTGTGTTGGTTCCATATAAAGGCATGATGTAGCTGTCTTGATTTCAAACTAAACCTGTCTTTCTACAATTGAATATGAAACAATGCAATTGTCAGATTTTTCTTGAGATAAGTCTTGGAGAACAGGATTGAACCACTCATTATCTTCTTTCTGCCAATATATAGAAGGAGAAAGTTTAAGATTTTGAGCCAAGCTAGCTAACTCTGTTCACGTGTCCTGGGTAATTGAAATTAAATATCATATATAGATAGCACTGCAAAAACGATGGAAATTTCCATCTTTGCTTGAATAAAGTACTTCTCATGAGGTTCTATTTTAATTTAAGCTGTCAGTTGTCAGAAATAGATTACTTTTTTTTTCTTATATCAGATGCTTGTACCTGCTTCAAAATTTCCATGATCTCTCTCTGTTTATTTTTTTTTATTAGAAAAACACAGCTTAAGTGTAAGAGTTCATTGTAGTTGATCAAATTATGGTGTTGCGTTAGTTCATAACATTGTGCTTTTGTGTGTCCATGTGAGGTTTGTGATCATTAATCTCACCTTTACTGAATTGTTTCGCTTTTTATCTTCTTTCTGCCTTGAGGATTTGCTGGATATGTTTTTCTTCTTAATTATTTTTCTGCCCTGTAAAATTGTTTCTCAAAACATATTTTAGATTAAATATTTATCAAGTGGTGGGTTGTTCCATGTTTCGATTAAATATTTATCAAGTGGTGGGTTGTTGTACATGGTTTAATTTAAAATCCTTGGAGCTTTCTTTTGAGCAATTGAATCGCTCCCTTCTCCTAAAATCCCCTGCACCCCCATCCACTGGTCTACTATACAGCAACAAAAACCAAGCCTCGATCCCAAACTGGTTCTGGATCCTTTTGCACCATACTGCATGATCATATACCAAAATTTGAACTGAAGATTTTATCTGGCTTGTCAGTTGTTAAAGATTGATATGCTGATGATGTGTAGCAATACTCTACATCATATAACTTTACACCCGGTTGCTCTTGTTTTCTTCCCTTCTAAGAAGAGGAATCTTGTGTCTGATTGTCTAAGGATCATGTGATCGCACAAATGCATACCCGTATATATTACTCTTTACAATTTTGTTTAGCATGCCATGTTTAGTAATACTACTTTCGTAGGATAAATTTATGCCTGAGTGGCCCTCTACTCCCTGTAATGTTGTTGGATGTTGATGTGCATGACTGTGCTTCTTCTGACTGGACATGATCTGCCATTGAAATTTGAACATATATTCTAATGCTACAGTTATTTCTTTCATTCCATGTTTTCTGAAGGATGATACTGTGAAAGATGAACCTAAAGTACACGTTCACTCACCTTACGGTAATTCCAAGCAAGTTCATTCTCCAAACATTCACTCCCCGGCATCAATGGATATCGTCCTATGTCCTTCAGTGAGTGATGCACCTGATGAGAAGCTTGGAGTGAAAGACTTTTCCCAACAAATTCACTCTGCACAGGCTTCCTCCTCACACGTCAACTCTTCACATATAACTGACATTGTTCCACGCTCTTTGAAGGATGTTTCATCTCTTATCAAGCTTGAAATACAGTCCTGCTCTCCACAGATATCTTCCACGGGAGTCCAATCTCCACATTTGTTCTCCCCATCGCCAGTGGATTCTCTTCCTCTGCAGAGGCGTAAACCTTGTTATGGATGGCTTAGCAGTGATGACGAGGATGAGCCAGATCTTTTACATCTAACACCTGCTACTTAATCCCTCTTCCCATCTTCTATTCCAATACTTGGCAGGAAAACTTCAGTATCATTTTCGATTGTAAATAAAGTTTTTGCAGCGCAGATTTCCTCTAGAATAGTCATGAAGATAAATGTCTTGGAATCACATACTTGGCTGCTGTTTTGACCTTTGATAATCGAACAAGTTAACAAGCCTCCATGTTCTTAGCTTCCATTTGATTAAATATTTTACAGCAAATCCTCAAATTGTTTTATTTTCAGCATCGTGTGAGAACATTAGCAAAAAACATCCTTGGTGCACCTAAATGATTAGTTTTTTTAAATTCGTTTTTTTTTTCCCTTACTCCATTACAAAAAAGAACTGCCTTTCTTCCTTTGAAAGTTTGGAAACTCTTTACAAACTTAACTATGGAAGATGAATATCCAATTAAGAATGGGGACAGGGAGTCTGTGAAATAGATACGCAAGAGGAGTTGCTGTTTCGTTTCTCCTTCCAGTCAAGAGTAATTGTTTATGGCTTGCTAGTTAATTTGTTGGGTTTTTTATTTTCCTTTTGGTAGGGTGGAGTCTTGTTTAAAGGAAACCTGCGAGGTCAGGCAGCTAAAAGCTAAGAAAAAATAACAAACAGGATGCATGTATATATTTGCTATTCCTTTGTCCCATTTCTTGCAGTTTCTTCACTGATCCGTCATGCAATTCAATTAAACAGAATAAATTTAGGGATCAGTATAAGCTTCTCCTCCAAATTAATCCAGAGGAGTTGTGGTTCCTAGAAGACCTTGCAGCCAGAAACAACAGGTAGTTTCATAGCTTAGTACAGTTTTTTCCCTGATCAGCGTCTTTTGCACAGTATAATATTTAAATTTTCATAGCAAGAATGAAGGCACTAATCAATGCCATTTTAACTTCTAGTTTAAACTACAACGGATTTAGTTTTATTTCTGCAGCTGTCCCAGAGTGTTTTGCAGCTGGATCTTTTGGAGTGCTTACGGTCTTCTCATTACTTCTCCACAGTGTGCCTGCATCACAGGCATACCTATTGTGTGTGATTTATTTATCTGTTCTTATGAATCATATTTAGATTAATACAATTATGTTTTATTAAGCTAAGAGTGATAGAATAACAATTTGTTCCTTTTCATTTGTCTGTTAGAATGATAAAGTTAATTTTAATTGCAGTCATGAATTTTTAATCCATTTTATGTTATTGTTCAGGCAAGTATCTGAAAAGGTGATGTCCATGGTTTTCCTTTTGTGGTTCCTTGTACCCTCTTCTTGTCATGCTTTTCTTGATTAAGGGCAATAACCTAAGCAAATTCTTTTTCTTCGCCTTCACCACATACACTTTCCAGCGAGGATGGTCCATTTTTGTTGTCCTTGCTCATGTGGATAAATTTTGTTTGATGCTATAGTGTTTATAATGCCTTCTATGTCTACTCTTTTTTTGTAGTTTATCATCAAGGTTTGTAATTCATTGTTGTATAAGCATTTTCTTTGAAATGTCTAGATTTTTTCATGATGCAGAACTCGTTAATTTTTTCTGACTAGAACATTAATATTTTAAATGCCACATGAGGATGGGCTACCTGGAGCCCTTGTGACTGCACTTATTATGGGGGCACATGAATTGAGCTGCATACTGGTTGCAAAAAGCAACTAAGTTCAGCTTGGGGTGCCATACTTTGTTCCAAGTTGGCAGGTGAAATACAAACACACATAAATACACACACACACTGTATGCGTGTACATATACATATATGGTTGTCTTGTCTTAATCTTTAC